GTGTATTCCATTTATGAGGTGCTTATTCTTTGTTCTCCCCATTCCTTTGGGTTTCACTGAGTTTATCTGAACTCTGTTTGAAATGAAGGGATGTTGGGAACAAAAAAGTCATTCAAAATACACGGTGTAAGGGATGGTTACTTGTATTCATTACAACCAGTGAACAAATGTGATGCAAAGTTGCTCCTGTGGTCAGGCACATTTAATCCACAAAGAGAGTGATTAGCTTGGAGCTCAGTTCTACAGAAATCATGGAAGATTTTGAGCCCAGCAAGACGTCCTGCGTCTACCTGCTTCTGGACCCCAGAATATATCAGGTCTATGGTTTTGGCCTATTCTACCGGTACATTTGGTGTTTCTGCTTTATTTCTGTTCTATAGAGATGCTCATGGTACTTTTAACATTCTTTTGTTATATATTATTCTTTGGCTATTCTGTATGTAGAGTAAGGCAGAGGGCAAAACGTGAATTTATAGTACCATCTTAACTGGATGTTTAACAGGTTAGCACAAGAGAATTTTAGCAAAAAGATTCACAGAGAGTGTCAACTGCTCCATGGTAGAGTAAATAGAAGAAATACCTCATGTAAATGACGAGTTGATAGGTGCAGCAAACCAACATGGCACATGTATACCTATGTAACAAACCTGCACGTTGTGCACATGTACCCTAGAACTTAAAGTATAATTACAAAAAAAGAAAAGAATTATCTGGAAAAGAAAAAAAAGAAGTTTTGAATTTGAGTTAAGTGGAGCATATTCAAGTAGAGGTTGAGTTATAGTATGTTGAAAATAAAAACACAAAAGATGAGGTTGGGAGCAAAGCTGAACATGAGTTTTGGGAATTATAGAGTTTTGGAACTGGGAATTTAATTGAATTGGGAATTACAGAGAATTTGGGATTATATAACTTTAAAAAATATTTCTTATAAAACTAGTCCTAATAATAATAACTTTTGAGGAATATTTACAAAGAAATCAGAGAATTAAATCATTTAATTTCTACTTTGATAATATTACAGTTTCTCTCCTTCTTAATGCTATCTTTAGCTTGGGTATCCATTTATACAATTATAGAATTTTGTGGTACATTGATGATTATTAATTTATTCATTTAATTAATAAATATTAATTATGCTCCTGCTATCCACTGAGCACTCTGTAAGGCCCTGGGGATACAGAGATGAATACTAAATGGTTCCTGCCCTCAAGGAATTAATAATTTTTTAAGGAAATCCACCAACCACACACACCAAAACAAATGACCACTCCATTCTAAGATAAGTGCTACAATGACTAAAGGGACAAGTACTTTAAAGGCATAGAGAAGGAAATGAGTAATTCTTATTTGGTGTGATTCTGTAAAGAGGCAATTCGTAAAGCTTCACAAAAGAGGGAGAATATTGAAAGTTTCTAGAATTTCTGTAAAGAAGTAAAGGGATGTCTAGGAGAATTAACTTGTGATTGTCAAGCACATCACTGTTGCTTAGATTCTGAAGTTATTTTGGAAAGCTTTGTAGAGCTAATAAAGAATACAGGAGGGTGATAAGCCCCTTGCACCGGTCTCTCACTCATCTACATTTTCCCATATCACTTATTGAGCACGTGGGTTTTATCAACTAATGGGGAGGAGCTGAAAGTAGAGATTTCTTTACATGAGCAAAGATGGCAATGTCAGGCAAATTTAGGAAAAAGTAAATAGATTGGCGTGCCAGAATGCAGGATAATAGTAACTAATTTGGGAATGGAAACATGGTCCTGGGTTGGACTGTGGAAACTCTTGTAAGCTAAAGGGACTGGACTTTTTTTGGGGACAACGAGAGAAACCTTGACTGAAATGCTGGAGAATGAGGAAATCCACTTTATATTTTTAAAATGTAGACATCTGAGATAATGAAATGGAGAATAAAAAGAGTAGAACCACAGATATTAATCAGAAAACTGCGGCAAAAGTCCAAGTATAATGACTATTAGAATGAATTGCCATGGGAATAGGGGAATTAGAAATATTATACTTTTTTATTTGTAACACAACAATAGGGCAATGCTTCTATTCACATTTTATGTAAGAGAGGGTTCCCTTGTTAAGATACAACTGTGCTGGAACTTTTGCCTTATATTCAATGCCTGAGGGCTATCTTTTTCCGATAATCAGGGTACTGTTTTATCTACTATATCAGTAATGAAGCATATTCAAGAGGTGCATGGGGTGATTTAGGCATTCAAAGAATTAACTCACTATGTTAGGCCCCTATCTTATGTTAGCATTATTGAAAACATGCAAGCACTGGCACTTTTACATTACATATAAAACAACAAATCTTGTCACTTAGAGAAAAAAACAAATGACCATTCTCCCCCAAAAAGAATGTACATTTTAATAAGATGAATCCCAAGTTGATTAAAAGCATAGCTTCTGAAATGGGACCTAATTAAACTAAAGAGCTGCACAGCAAAAGAAACTATCAACAGAGTAAAAAGACAACCTACAGAATGGGAGAAAATTTTTGCAAACTATGCATCTCACAATGGTCTAATATTCAGAATCTTTGAGGAACCTAAACAAATTAACAGGCAACCCAAACAAGACCATTAAAAAGTGGGCAAAATACACGAACAGACACTTTTCAAAAGAAGACGTATGTGCTACTAAGAAGCCAACAAGCATATGAAAATGCTCAATATTGCTAATCATTGGAGAAATGCAAATCAAAACCACAATGAGATACCACTTCACACCAGTCAGAATGGCTATCATTAAAAAGTTAAAAAATAACAGATGCTGGCAAGGCCGTAGAGAAAAGGGAATGCTTATATATTGCTGGTAGGAATGTAAATTAGTTCAGCCATTGTGAAATGCAGCTTGGCTATTTCTCAAAGAACTCAAAGCAGAATTACTACTCGACCCAGAAATCCCATTATTGGGCATGTACCCAAAGGAATAGAAATTGTTGTACCATGAAGACACATGCACACATGTTAATCACATCACTATTCATAATAGCAAAGACATGAAATCAACCTAAATACCCATCAGTGGCAGACTGGATAAAGAAAATGTACATATACACCATGGAATACTATGCAGCCATAAAAAGCTGAGATCATCTCCTTTGCAGCAATACAGATGGAGCTGGAGGCTGTTATCCTAAGTGAACTAACAGAGGAACAGAAAACCAAATACCACATGTTCTCACTTATAAGTGGGAGTAAATATTGAGTACATATAGACACAAAGATGGGAATAAGAGACACTGGGGCCTACTTGAGGGTACAGGGAAAGAGGAGGGTGAAGACTGAAAAATTACCTATTGGATATTATGTGTATTACCTGGGTGGTGAAATAATCTGTACATCAAACCCCCATGAGGTGACATGCAATTTATCTACACAATAAACATGCACATGTACCCCTCAACCTAAAATAAATGTAAAAAGAAAGAAGTTAAATTTTAAAAAAAAGTAATTAAAAAAAAGAGTATTAAAACTGAAAAAAACAAGCATAGCTTCTAGATAAATTCTGTGTCCCATGAAAAAGTAGAATTTATACATTGAATATTTTTTATTAAAGGAGTCAAGATTAATCATAACCTTAAACAATATTCCTTGGCTGGGCATGGTGGCTCACGCCTGTAATCCTAGCACTTTGGGAGGCCGAAGCAGGTGGATCGCCTGACCTCAGGAGTTCAAGACCAGTCTGGGCAATGTGGTGAAACCCCATCTCTACTGAAAATACAAAAGTTAGCCAGGCGTGGTGGCACATGCCTGTAGTCCCAGCTACTCAGGTGGCTAAGGAAGGAGCATCGCTTGAATCTTATAGGCAGAGGCTGCCATGAGCCAAGATCGTGCCACTGTACTACAGGCTGGGTGACAGAGTGAGACCCTGTCTCAGAAAAAAAAAAAAAATTCTGCCAACACAAGGATTGCATGCTAAATGAGAAAGAATAGAAAAGAGCTGGCTAGATACTGCTATCCTACAAACTATCCCACAAAGTAATACAAATGAGTGTCTTTTCTTTATACTACAAGGAAAATCCTTTTGCATATTAACTGATCAAGTTCAGGAACTAGAACTGCATTACATTAGAGTGACACCCTGTAGCTACTGAGCCCCTAATAAAGTATTAGACACTAGTCTAGAGACATCATATATGCTACTTGCTTAAACTTTGACAAGCACTTAAAATGTGAAGAATTCCTCTAAGACTGTCATTCATTTGACTTTAGACTTGTAAAACTTTAGAAAAAAGGAGACTTCTCTTCCTCACTGGCCCAAGAGGGATCCTCTACTCCCAGTTCTTAAGCTGCTCCCTAATATCCCAGTCACTCACATAACATTTTACAGAGCATTTTCTGTATGCAGGTGTGTGCCTATTGCTTCTAGTTAAGAAAATTCCTGAGGGCCTATAATCTAAAAACAATAATTAAAAGAATCAGATCATAAAAACCTCTGTTAGGTATGATTCAAAGGGAAAAAATGAGCTGCAGTGAAAGCCAATTTGAACTAGAAAGACTCGCATTCTTAAGTAACCAGACATGTGTAGCCACTTATGTAGCTGTCTGATTACATGTTTTTAAACATCTGTCAGCACAACCAGACCTCCGCATGCACACTCATGAGCACTGTGGATGTTTGTTCGACTGTGCAGAAGTCTCAGAATCGGAGAGAAATGAACAGATTTCACAGGGAGAACACAAGTCATTATTGCTTCACTTAAGGCAGGCTTGGGAAGTGGCTCCCAAGGCTGTGACTCATTTACTTGGCTATCAATATCTTAAGGACAAAATTGGAACGAGCAATAAAACCTACAGAGCCCTGGAGAAAGAGAGACATCAGAGGTACCAAGAAGCAGGAGAAACTGGAGAGCTATAGCTTAACTTGTGGCTTCAGAGCTGAAAGCTGAGCCGAACTTCCCTCTTCTTGATAAAAAAAATGCAGTGACATTTTCCCACCATTAAAGCGTTTCAATCTCCAAAGTACAAATATAGTTCCTTTCAAACCTGCAGCATTTGTCCTTCCTCTGAAGACATCGTCATATGCTTTCCACTGTGGCTTCACCTGGTAGGCATGGATGAACACCACGAACACTACCACAAGGCACATCAAAGGAACAAGAGCTGCAGTGAACAAAGCAGCATAGACGTTTGGAATAAAACACCTGGAAGAGAAATGAGAAGAGGTAACTCAGACAGTTTCAGTGCAGATATTTCTAAATTCAGAATGTATCACATCACTACTTTATACTAGCTCTTTGTATCTGGATGCTGGCAACATCAGATTTTTGGTTTGCCAAACTTAAGTTTTGTTTGAGTACAACATCCGATTAAATCTAATCCACTGCTTCACACAGTAGGTTCCCCGGAACATTCGCCTCGTGTAAAGTTCAGAAAGCTGCAAAAAAAGGTTATGGCCAAATAAATTTGAGAGATGCACACTACATACATCTCACAGAAGTTAAGGGCACATATCTGTTCATTTTTAAAAAGCCACAGAAAGTCATGGAGTCAAGAGATCTGGGCTCTGAAATCAGGCTATTGAATCCAGCACCACATCTTTAAAAAAAAAGTCACTTTAGATACATTTTTTTTTTTTTTTTTTTGAGGCGGAGTCTCCCTCTGTATCCCAGGCTGGAGTGCAGTGGCCGGATCTCAGCTCACTGCAAGCTCCGCCTCCCAGGTTTACGCCATTCTCCTGCCTCAGCCTCCCGCCACCTCGCCCGGCTAGATTTTTGTATTTTTTAGTAGAGACGGGGTTTCACCGTGTTAGCCAGGATGGTCTTGATCTCCTGACCTTGTGATCCGCCCATCTCGGCCTAGATACATTTTTTAACTTCTCTGAACACTCATCTTTAAAATAAAGATTACAGGTGGGGTGCAGTGGCTCATCCCTGTAATCACAGCACTTTGGGAGGCTGAGACTGGCAGATCCCCTGAGATCAAGAGTTTGAGACTAGCCTGGCCAACATGGTGAAACCCTGTCTCTACTAAAAATACAAAAAAATTAGCTGGGCGTGGTGGCAGGTGCCTGTAGTCCCAGCTACTTGGGAGGCTGAGGAAGGAGAATTGCTTGAACCTGGGAGGCGGAGGTGAGGTTGCAGTGATCCAAGATCATGCCACTGCACTCCAGCCTGGGTGACAGAGTGAGACTCCCTCTAAAAAAATAATAATAAAATAAAAATAAATAAATAAATAAATAAATAAAATAAGGATTATAATAGTATCCACAACAAAAGTTAGTTGTCAAGATTAACTAATTCACATAAAGCATTTAGTAAATTTGGCTTAACCCACCATTTCTAGACTTCAACGAAAATTAAACCCTTCTCCTTTTTCACACACACACACACACATACACACACACACACACACACAGATACACAGACATATGGTCATGCTACAGGACTAATGTGCCCTGGAACACACTTTGGGAATCACTGATCTAGTCATGCCCAGCTTATGTTTCAAATTAGTTGGTGGATTCCAGGGAGAGTTCCAGGTTCCTTTCTACTTCCTTCCTCTATTTAACCTCAAAAGAAGAATGCCATCAGGACTTATGGCCATGGGGCTGATGACAAAGTCACTGTGTCCTGTCAATGACTGATCATGTCAGAGGGACTTCTCTTGACCTCTTTGGCCCCTCATGGTAAAAGGTCACAGAGGCCATTGCTGCTCCTGCATAGGAGGAGGCCAAGCCACCTGCTCTCTTCCCTCTACCCCCTCTCCCTTCTCTCCCTTTTCTGCTCTTTCCTTCCTTCCCTCTCTCTCCATTTGGAGTTTTCTTCCTGGGAGGAGTTTTCTTCCTAACAGAGGAAATAAAGGATGAAGGATCATGTCACAATTAGGGAGCTAATAACAAAGCATGGGTTTGCCTTGCTTTTCCAGCCCCAGCATCCCTTGGGAACCATAAGAGAGAAGGTATTGTTTAAAGGCAAATCTGAGGATTCCCAGGGCTCCACTCTTGTCATCTCCACAATCTTGTTTTTTGAGTGACTGACAGTTTTCTTATTCCTAAACTATACATTTCCCCAAGAGCCATCTATTCTCTCTTGAAAATGAAGATAATTTATCCATTTAGAAGCTACACTGCACAATTATATTTATTATTACCAGAGTTTAGATAGGACAACGGGGTCCAAGGCAAACTTAGATTATTTATTTATTTATTTTGGTAACACTGAAATTATCAGCAAAATGGTTTTAGAGATATAACTAGAAATTTTTACTTATGGAACATAACATCCACTTGTGCTTTGCATAAAATCTTGCATGAAAATCTCAAAATGGAGGAATGTTAAACAGGTTCTCAATATCTAAAACTGCTTCTGAAGTATTCTTATAAGGGATATACCTCCAAGTTACAAGACTATACTTTTAATTACAAGAAACTTTAATAGTAAGAAGTGTCTCTTTTAAAGTATTTTCCCCACTTTCTCTATTTTTCAAAAATATAATATCTATAAACCTAGATTATAATACAGCCATAAATACTAGACTTTGAAGAAAACTCAAGGGGAAACACACATAGCCTGTTTAGAAGGAATCCAAAATATAAGTAACCAGGGAAACACTCATTCTTCTGCTTTGGGAAAATAGTGCTTTAATGTTTTTTTAAATAATTTCAACTTTTATTTTAGATTCTGGGAGTCCATGTGCAAGTCTGTTACATGAGTATATTTCATGATGCTAAAGTTTGGGATATGAATGACCCCATCACCCACACAGTGAGCGAAATATCCAAGTTAGTTTTGTAATCCTTGCCCCACTCCATCCCTTCCCCATCTATCAATTTCCAGTGACTGTTGTTGCCATCTTTATGTCCAAGAGTACCCAATGCTTAGCTTCCACTTATAAGTGAAAACACATGGTATTTGGTTTTTTGTTTCTGTGTTAATTTGTCTAGAATAATGGCCTCCAGCTCCATCCACGCTGTTGCAAAGGACACGATTTCCCGTTTTTTTGTTATAGCTACATAGTATTCTATGGTTTATATGTACCACAGTTTCTTTATCCAACCCACCATTGTTGGGCACCTGGATTGATTTCATGTCTTTGCTATTGTGAATAGCGCTATGACGAACATACAAGTACATGTGTCTTTTTTGATAAATGATTTATTTTCATTTGGATACATGTCCAGTAATGGGATTGCTGGGACAAATAGTTACGTTCTAGGTTCTCTGAGAAATCTTCAAACTGCTTTCGATAGGGTCTGAACTAATTTATATTCACACCAATAGTGTACATGCATTCACTTTTCTCCACCACCTTGCCAATATCTCTTGTTTTTTGACTTTTTAATAATGATCATTCTGACAGGTATGAAATGGTGTTTCATTGTGGTTTTGATTTGCATTTCCCTGATGATCGATGATGTTGAGCATTTTATCATATGTTTGTTGGCTGCTTGTAATTCTTTTGAGAAGTATCTGTTCATGTTTTTTGTCTACATTTTAGTGGAGTTGTTTTTTGCTTGTTCAATTGTATAAGTTCCTCATACATTGTGGATATCAGACCTTTGTCAGATGCATGGTTTGTGAATAGTTTCTCCCATTTTGTAAGTTGTCTGTTTACTCTGTTGATACTTGTCAATTTTTGTTTTTGTTGCAATTGCTTTTGGGGTCATAGTCATGAAATCTCCATGGACATTGTGCCAGGGCCTATGTCCAGAATGATATTTCCTAGGTTTTCTTTGGGGAGTTTCATAGTTTTAGGTTACACAGTTAAGTCTTTAATCCAACCCGAGTTAATTTTTGTATATGGTGTAAGGAAGGGGTCCAATTTCAATCTTTTCGATATGGCTAGCCAGTTATCCCAGCACCATTTATTGAATAGAGAGTTCTTTCCCTGTCATTTGTTCTTGTCAGCTTTGCAGAAGATCAGATGTTTGTAGGTGTGTGGCCTTATTTTTCCATTTTCTAACTTATTCCATTGGTCTATGTGTCTGTTTTTGTATCAGTACCATGCTGTTTTGGTTACTACAGACTTTTAGTGTAGTTTAAAGCCAGGTAATGTGATGCCTCTAGCTTTGTTCTTTTTGCTTAGGATTTCTTTGGCTATTCAGGCTATTTTTGTGTTTCATATGAATTTCAGAATAGCTTTTTTCTAATTCTATGAAAAATGATGTTGGTAGTTTGATAGGAATAACATTGAATCCGTAGATTGCTTTGGGTAGTATGGCCATTTGAACAATATTGATTCTTCTAATCCACAAGCTGGAATGCTTTTCCATTTGTTTGTGTCATGTATTATTTCTTTTAGCAGTGTTTTGTAGTTCTCCTTGTAGAGATGTTTCATGTCCTTGGCCAGATGTATTCCTAGGTATTTTATTTTTTTGTGTATGTGAGTGCCTCAATTTTATATTAAAAAGAAATATATTATTAAAGGCCTAAGATACTATTTCTTTTTTGTTTGTTTGTTTTTTGAGACGGAGTCTCACTCTGTCACCCAGGCTGGAGGGCAGTGGTGCAATCTTGGCTCACTGTAAGCTCTGCCTCCCAGGTTCACACCATTCTCCTGCCTCAACTTCCTGAGTAGCTGGGACTACAGGCGCCACCACCATGCCCAGCTTTTTTTGTGTTTGTTTTTGTTTTTTAAGTATAGATGGGGTTTCACCATGTTAGCCAGGATGGTCTCGATCTCCTGACCTTGTGATCCACCTGCCTTGGCCTCCCAAGGTGCTGGAATTACAGGCATGAGCCACCGCACCCGGCCACTCAGATACTATTTCTAATTAACATAATCTGCTTAATGTATTTCTCATGTAAACCAAGCATATTTCAAGAGATATTTCTACACATACTGTGTATCTGCAAAGGGATATAAAAATGATAAATTTCTTGGCTTTTAGAATTTTGATAGCATGAAGCCTGAATCATTAGCTGAACACTCATCTGTATGCAATAAGACCTGATTCTTCCACATGAAGGACACATGATTAAATAAAATGGGCAAACATTAATGGTCTTAATATTGAACATACTCCTGCACTAAAAATAATGGCCATGTTGGTTACTCATTCTTATGTATATTGGCTTCAAAAGGTCACTTATTTTTTTCATGTGAATTATGGAATCCATTGACAGCAAGTAGCCTACAGACGCTTACACAAATTCAGATACTGATGAAGAATCACACATAGGTTTCACTGCCTTATTTGTGT